AGAGTCCCAGCGACGCTTTGTCATTCACAGCGAACGTAGGAGAAGGGGGTGGGAGCCAGCGCGGTCGCCTTGCACCGGGCTGGGGGTGGAAGCTGACAGTTTTCGGAGGTGAATCCCACAGGCACCTGGGCCTGGCTTTCCCCACAGGTGCCTGGAAGGATGCTGGGTGGGGATGCTGCCCACCTGCAGCTCTGTGATGCCCTGCAGATAAAAGGGTGGCTGCTCCCTACAGACCCCCCTGGGCACCTTCTTGGCTCTGGGTGTCTGTCCCACCTCCCCCAAGGAGCAGCTGGTCCCAAGGCACCCACGGGATCCCACAGAGGTAGCGTTTGGTGCTGTGATGCTCTTGATGCAGCTGTAAATGCTGGGCTGGCGGGGCTGTGCCGGGGGTGGGTGCGCTGGTTGCTGCAGCCCACTCGCAGGGGTTTTGGGGTGCTGATGTGTTTGCCCATTCTGGCTTCCTGCGTGCCTTGAGGTGGAAAACCTCTGGCAGTTCTTCATCGCCCCTGCTGAGCGGCAGCGTGCCTCGTAAGGGGTCGGCTCCGCTGCTGCTGCCCTTGCCGAAGGTTTTGGTTTTGAGAGAGGTGCCAGGGCTGCCCCTGGGCAGGGGTCTCTGTGCTCCTGCCCTTTGGGAGTGGGCAGTGCAGAGTGCCAGGAGCCTTGTTTGCACCCCAGTCGCTTTGCTCTGGGACCGGTTTGGCCTGGATGTCTTGCACCGAGCCTGCCTGCCACCCTGGGGTGAGCAGGAGGGAGGATGTTGCATCTCCTCGGCGTCCCGCATTGCTGTGCACATCTCTCTATCCAAGACCACGAAGCCCTCAGCTATAGCGACTGCCCAGGGAAATGCAGGATTTCAGGACGCCAGGGACAAAGTGTTACAGTTGGTTTGGTAAAACTGAAGAGCCGGGGAGATCTCTATGGACAGGAAGGGTGATGTTGCCACACGTGTGACACTACTCTGAAGTGTCAGTGGTGGGTTCAGGTGTTGGGGTTTGTCCTGTGAACCCTCGCTACAGCACCATGTTCCTCCCGAGCTCCGTGTTCCTGCGATGGGGCCAAGGCCCGTGCTGAGCACAGCCCGTGCAGTGTCTTTGCTCTTGCCCGATGCCCTGGATCTGCCGGGCACCCTTGTTCTCGGCTCTAACAGCTCCGCCCCTGCCTCCGCAGGGGCTGAAGGGCAGAACTGCTGCTGGTGATGCTGTGTGCCTCTGCCACAACCGCGTGGTTCACTTTCTGAGCTGGTTCAATGCCATTGATATTCCCAGTTTTCTGTAAACTAACTACTTCTCAAGTAATTTGATGGAAAAATCCCCAACCCCAAATATCTCCCTAAGGTCTCACCCCAAGCAAGAGGGTATTTTGATCTAGACTTCACCAATTAACTCGTTTCCTGCATACACCGTCTGTGTTTATTTGAGGCCTTCATGGTTTTTGACCTCTGAGCTCATCGCTGGCAAGTTGGTACCTGGGGCTGTTGGTGGTAGCGGTGGTGAGCAGCTTCGCTTGGAGTGTTCTTGTGCTTCGTCGTTCTTAATACATCAGGTCAGCCGCTCCGCTGGCTCTCCCGGCGTCTTTCGGCTTTGAAAAGGGAAACTCGAATCCAGCAAATCGGATCAGCAAGGCATTCAGGAACTGCACCAGGGAGCAAACCAGGATGACCCAGAAGGAGTTTGCGAACTGCTCGCTGTGAGTCTTGAACGTAAAGCTTCCCTCTTTGAAGTTAGCGATCTTCTCGGAAAGGTGATGGATCTTCACTTCGGAAGAGAAGAGAATCATGATGAGGCAGCCGCAGCAACCTGGAGCAGAGGGAGAGATGTTCGTGGTCTCAGCCACATCGTCACAACCGAATGCCGTACTGATGGTGTTACGGCCAGCGTCACTTGGCTTAATGGGGATCGCTTTGAGAATCCAAGCCAACAGCTCTTCAAACCGGTAAGTTTTTTTAATGGAATTTGGCTTAGGACCTGTAGTGTTTAGCACAGCTGCTTTAGTGCCCTGATCTGTGCTCTTTTGCAGCTTTAAGCTGCTCATTGTCCCATTGGACGTAACCGAGCTGTCTGCACTCGTAAAGATGAATATGTACTTAAGGCCCTTATTAAATTGTGACTGTAACGCGTAACAACTCGCGAAGCAGTGGCAAACCTTCCTGTCAGCTGAGCCAGCGACAGAGAACGGGCTTTCTCTTCTCTGTAAGTAGCAGACAGGGATGGCCCGTTCTCCCCGTTGGCAGGGATCTCCGGGCTCACAGAGTGAGCTGCTGTCAGCCTCTGCTTCTCGAGTCTGTCCTTCCTTGAGAGAGTTGTGCTGGTGCCAGTGGTGATCCCACTCGGCTGGAAACCGCCCACCATGGTGATGGCAAGCAGTTGCATCTCTGACTCTTTATTTGGGGTTTTTCCCCTGCCCCCCCTTCCCCCCTCCGGTGTGATTCCCGGCTCTGTCCGTGTGATGTGGTCCCAGCTTGGGCTCATGGGCACCATCCCCTTTCTCTGCCAGCTCACGCAGAAGGGCCGGGGGCGCTGGGCTGGCTGCACCCATCCCCATCCCACCACCAGCCCTCACGGAGGGTTTGACATTTCCTCTTTTAAGCTCCGTTTGGGAAAAACCTGTTTTGGTACAGCAAAATGGCCTGTTTAGGGTCAGCGCAGCCCCAGTCCTTGCCCCGATGTCCTGGGCTGGTAGAGCGGCTGTCACAGGGAGCATGGGGGGGTGGGGGTTAGCCTGGGGCGCTACTTACAGGTGATGAAGCTCCAGAGGTACAACCCGACGGGGCCATGCAGGGTTTCGTAGGGGCTGCCAAAAGCATTGAACAGGAAGAATCCCGCTCCCACCAGCGCGAAGATGACCAGCACCGTGCAGAAGAGGATGACGCTGATGTGGATACTCGCAGGGATAATTTTGAGCAAATCTGGAAAAACTGAAAGCAGAACAAGCAAATGTTGTTACACACCTCAGGCGGAGTTGCTCTCTGCGTCCGAGCGGGGGTTTCCTGCTGGTTTGTGATAACCGATATAAACCGCACTCTTCCAAATGCGGCCGAAGATGGTCATGAAGTTATTAACCAGAAACAGGTTTCCCTGGATGTTTGGAAGCAGAAGCGTTTTGTGGTACTCGGAAGCGTAGCTGACCAGGAGGGAAACACCAGCTCCAGGGAAAGCCTCTCCTGCCCTCCCCAGGTGTTTCCGTGCTATTCCCCTGCCCCAGCTGTACCCCCTGTGGGGTGTGGAGCAGACCCTCTGTGCCCTGACACCCTGCCCATGGCCGTCTGCGCCGGGCTCTCTGGGGTGCAGCCCCCAGCACCCCCAGCTGCGTGTGATGAACACGTTCACCGCATGCTCTATCATGTTGTTTCCAACAGCTGGAGACGCTCGCATCGGCTGCATGTGCTGTTACATCCCTTGCCCCTGTCGCTGCCCCACGGACAAACCAGCGTGTGCGCGCGGTCGCTGCTGCCTGCAGACGGCAGGCTGTGCTGAGCTCCAGCCCCGCGACAGCCCGCCTGGCCATATGCAACAACTTGGGAAAACTTGAAGTATTTTTATGCAGCTTCTTAGCAACTATTTCGCACTGATCCTGCTTTGCTGGGACTCATGGGGATTGGCAGTCAGACTCAGCATGAGAGAGTAACGGTTAATCATCCATGTTCGTTTGGAAACAACGGGTAGTTTAGAAGGAATCATCCCACACGCTCAACTGCTCCTGATCCGTGGGGGTAGTAACCCTTGGCGCTGCCTTGCTGCAGCTGTGATGTGTGGAGTAAAAAAAGCCTCACATAAATTACTCCACCTTGTAAAATGTTTTCCCAGCGGGCAGCCCTGCAGCTCGCCGTGCAGTAAACACAGAGATGGGTAGTGTGGTGTCGTTAATTATCTGCCCGACTAAATGAAAGGGGAATTCGGGAAGCAGATGTGCTGCTCCTGGAGCTGCGTTACATGAATTCCACTCCTTGAGGGGAGAGGAGGCCGTGGGCGCTTTTGTGTTGTCCGTTTCCTGTGTTCACAGGCGCGGAAGGGTGGCATGTACAACAGCAAAACTGCACTTCCAGCCAGGCTGTCGAGGGAAAGGCTGCGGTGTTCCTGCCTGTGCAGAACTTCCGTGGGGAGTGACATCAGCTCGTGTGAGCTACCTGGTCTTTTGGGAGAGCACACACAGTTTTGCAGCGTTTAAAGAAAATGCAGTACTGTGCCCTGCTGAATCCCTCCCCTGGCGCCTGCCTTTATGGTGGTTTATGTCATTAAAATTTTATACGTGACATATCAGGAAAAATTAATTCCAGCAGCTCTGTTGTCCTGAAAGGAAAGCACTCCTTCCCCGTAATGAATGAAATCGCTAGGTATGCGTGCCAGTGGCCTTTTGAAAATGAGCTGCTGACCCAGAAGCTGATGGGAACCAGTGGCTCAGCGAAGCGGAAGGCTATCCCAGCCAAGCCGGGTTTGCTGGCAGAGCAGATCCAGCCTCCAATTAGGAGAGATACAGAGGGGAGCGTTCAACGGGAACAAGCATTGCACTAAATCGTTTAGCCTGGTTTCCATGCCTCAGACGTGCTGGAGCGCACTTGAGCGTGTTAAGCTATGGGTGGGTATGCTGTGTGTGGTGGTCCTGCTTCCCGGGATGCTCCCAGCGAGCTCCCGAGGGCTGCAGCCCCGGCGTGTGCAAACCAGCTGCTGCCACCAACCAAAGCTGCCACCAACCAGCCGCTTTCCCAGCTCACCGGCTGGGCGCTTCACAGGCTGGTCGCTAACTTTTTGGCTGCTTTGTTTCTCAACAGCTGCTGAAAGTGCCTACGCCCCAGCGCTTTCACCAGGTTTCTGCGGGGTTAGCTCATTCTCTCACCGCGGCGCAGAGGATGGACTGTGACACACGCAGAGAATGAGAGAGATTAGTTGAAACGCAAAAATATTCTTTTTTTTTTTAAGCAATAAACTTTTGAAGCAGAGGTATCTGTGTAACCGACATACAGGCTGTTGAGCACGTTAGCATGGCTTTACTAGCATCAGGAGTCATTTAAGCCTCAGGACTGGCGCGGCAGCGGTTGCCGCAGGGTATTTCACGCTTGTCAGGCTCCGCGGACGAGCGCGCGGACGCGGGCAGCTGCCCCCTGGCTCCTGGTTAAAATAATTCAACCGCCATCGGGACTCACATGAGAACGGGAAAGGTCTCCCCCCGAGCCCGCACTGCCGCACGCGCTCACCGGAGAAGAGCCCGTAGTGGATTTTCCCAATGAACTTGTCCAGCTCGGGGCCGGTGGCGTTGACGAGCAGGGCTCCCGTCCTGCAGAGCACGGTGCCCTTCACCCAGAGCTGAGTGCCGATGGCGGCCCCGGCCCCCAGCGCGCAGGCGAGGCTCAGCACCCCAGCTATGCAGAAGATGGTTTTCTTCTGCTGGGCTGGCATGGCGAAGCGTTCGGGGGACGCAGCTTTCGGCGAGACAGCGACGAGGTCGTGGTCAGCGTGGCCAAGAGCCCAGCAGCCTGGACGGAGCCGCGGGCGCCCAGCCAGCCTCCCTCACTCCCTAGGGAGCCTCCGCAGCGAGCCTCCGCGAGGCACGGCGTTCCTGGGAGATGCTGCGGGGGCTTATCCCCCCCGTCCTCCTCTGTCCGGCTGCAGCCTGCGCAGCGGTGCGTTTCAGCTGGGAGACAGGGCGGTCTGCCGCGTGTTTCAGCACATCCTGTCACTTGATCGCGAGGGTTCGGTGACAGAAGGCTCTGCTCTGCAACGCGATCAGCGCGCAGCTCTCCCAGCCCGGCCTCGCTGGGCGAGGGGGGCTGTCACGCAGCGCCTGCCGCCGCCGAGCCTTCGCTCTCCCAAACATGAGTTTTAGTGGGTTTTATTTTTCCAGCTCTCCTGTGCAACTAGCAAGGCTGAGCCACTCTGCTCCGCCTGTTGTTCCCAGTGCCATGCAGGGGTGACTTGCAGTACTCCCGCCCAGCCAAGGGACCCTATGCGCTATCCGGTTGCATTTGGGCACTGGCTGTTCCTCGAGGGCGCAGGGAGGCTGTTGCATATTGTTGTGAGCTGGCTGCAGTGTGTAGGATGCTTGGACAAACGTTCCAGTCCAGGTTTCCAGTCCACACAAACACCTTTTCACTTCCCTCCTTACAGGAGACGCAGCCAACCCCCGGCGGGGTGGCACGCTGGCTCGCAATGGAGAGGCACCGCTGGGCTCCCGGGTGGCCAGGGACTGCTCGCTTTTCGTGCAAACCGAGGTCACAACCACAAAACCCTGTCCTCTGGCGTGTGGCAAACTCAGGGCCTTGGCTGGGCCCAGCGGCATGGCCGCCCACACCCACCTGCTGACCACCGGTGATTTCAGGGAACGCGGCGTTTGGGGTTTTCCCTGACCAAGCTAGAGGGTGGTTTGTTAACTGGGTGCGTGTCTGTGGCGGGGTTGCTCTTGGGGTGGTTCGAGAGTGTCCTATCTGTCAGGCTTAACGACTCCGCCTGGTGCAACTACACAGGTTTTAAGACAAGCTGGGACCGAAACGAAGCGGGACTGTGCACAGGCAAATGGTTGATTTCTAAGCTGATGCTTAAATACAGCTGTGGTTCGTGCTGTGATCATTGTACGTAGCCAAAAGACGGCTCAGGGCCGTGTCACAGGGACCCCCGCGCGTGCTCTGCGCGCAGTGCTGCACTCAGGCGGGTTTGGGAAAACGCCTGGTTTTGAAGCTGGTGGTGGAGACTCGAGCAGAATGTACCTATCGCTCCCTGAGGAGGGACTGATACTGCAGTACGGTGACCACCAGCCCAATAGCGGTGCACGCAACAGGCGTGGACACAGGCGGGTAACGTGACAGTGTCCTAGGGAGAATTTGGGGGGGGTGGGCATTTAATTGCATTTCTCTATTTTGGTGCCTACTTTTTCCCACGAATCAGCCTTCTGACTGTCTTTTCATATGGAGCAGTACTTTATGCCACGGGAAATTCCGTAGTCTTCTGAATGGGCTGCGATGTTTCCGAATTCCTCAAAAGAAGCTGAGGTGTACAGGTGTACCCTGCGGAAAACGGGAGCAGCTGGCAGTGCCCCGCAGCGTCTGGCTGTGCCTGGGAAGGGGCTGGGCGCTGCCTGGTGGTGTGAGCGGTTGGGCGGGAGCAACCCGGAGTGCGGACAAGCTGGACGTCAGGGCAGAGAAATGTCCCGGAGTCTGTCCTGGAGTAACTCATTCTTGGAATATTCATTGTCAGCTACGGAACCTGGCTGCATCTGCCTAAAAACGACTCCATTCCTGCGTGCCTCGGCAGGCAGTACCAGGCGCTACGGAGGCATCTGACAGGGTCTGCGTTTGCACAGCAGCCCAGTGTTGCTTTCTGGGCAGGTAAAATAATATCTCCTGCTACCTGGGGTGCGGTGTTTGTCAAACCGCTACAGAGGGAAATGAACACAGCACAGCGGGGGCTGTTACGGGATTGTCAGACCCTTCCGTGTGACAAAACCTGCCCAAAACTGGGATCTGTGTGTTTAAATGCATCCAGATGTGCTTGACAGCCTCAGGAATAAAATGTAATGATCTTACAGTAAGGATGGCATTAATCCTCCCAAAGCTGACCCAGTGTGCCCATGTAACTCGTGAAAAGCTCCAAAGCGTTTTTATCCACCGGCGGAGTGAGGAAGAGCCAGCAAATGCTGCTGGTCCTTGGAGCGTGCGCGCGCTCTCACGGGAAGTCTGACAAACCCGTCGAAGAGGGCGTCTCGCAGGTGGGTGTTGAAGTCTGAGCATCTCGGGCTCAGCCCTTCGGTGAGCAACGCAGGTGGGTGCGCGAGGAGGAGCGCAGTCACCAAAGGTGCCAAGGACCGGCGCAGGAGGTGTGCTGACAAACAGGAGGTGTAGGGCACTACCACCCCGGTTATCGCTACAGTTCAGCCTCAGCTTTTGTGCCCTGTGGGTTGGTCAGAGAAGTGCTCAGAGACCAGGTGACGTGGCTTGCCTGCGCTCCCTGCTCTTGTCCATCCCGCGCTCGGACAAAGCTCATCCGGGGAGTGCTGCTGACAAGTCTATTTCGACTTATTTGCAGCGGACCACCTCACCCTGCATTTCCGAAGTACCTCGTGCTGTCGGGGGATGCAGCACAAGGAGACGATCTGGCACAAATAATGGGTAGAACGAGGAAAAAGCGAGTTTTCGTGCTTGCTTAAGGCAACAGAAGTGACTGTGGGGCCAGGAGGGTCCCCCCCACCCCCGAAGCTGGGCGAGGGCAGCGCCGGGGGGGTGTGGGGGCACCTGAAGCTCT